TTGTCTCTCATACTTCAGACATATTATTAGGAGGGACCAGTCGCTGGAGAAGGGTATCATGTTTGGTAAGGTGGAGGGTCAGAGAAAAAGAAGAAAACCCTCAGCAAGATAATATTGGCAAAGTAGCAGCATCAATGGGCTCAAGAGTGTCAACAATAATGAGGTTGGCCTAGGACCGGGCAGTGTTTCATTCTGTTGTGCATAGGGTTGCTATGAGTCATTACCGAGTCGATGGCACCTAACAGCAACAACAACAATGCTAGAGTTATATTTTTTCACCATATTCACTGTATACAAATAATCTGATAAACTGGTTATGAAGTATGTGGCATTATGATTGGAAAAGCACTCATGAAGAACCTGTGCTATGCAGATGATACAATCTTGCTTGCTGGAAATGAAGTGGAAATGAATATTTATTGAGGGTCAAAGACTACAACCTTTAGTATGATTAGCACCTCCATGAAGGAAACTAAAATCCTCAAAACTGGATTAATAAGTAACATCATGGTAAGTGGAGAAAAGATTGAAATAGTAAAAACTTTATTTTGCTTGGATTTACAATCAACTCTCATGGAAACAGCAGTCACAAAATCAAATGATTAGCTTCATTATGCAAATCTGTTGCAAAAGACCTGTTTAAAGTGTTCAAGAGCAAAGATGTATTTAAGGACTAAGGTGCACCTGACCCAAGCCATGGTATTTTCAATGGCGTCATATGCATGTGAAAATTGGACAATGAATAAGGAAGACTTTGGAATAATCAGTGCATTTGAATTACAGTGTTGGACAAGAGTATAAAAGTAGGGACTGCTAGAACAAACACATCTGTCTTGGAAGAAGTGCAACCAGAATGTTCCTTAGAAGCCAGGTTGGCAAGACTTTTATCTCTCATACTTGACATGTTTTCAGAAGGCACCAGTTCCTGGAGGACATCATGTTTGGTAATGTGGGGGTTTTGGTAATGTCAGTCCATTCCTTTGGTAAATGGACTGACACAGTGACAGCAGCATTGGTCTCAAACTTAACAGTCATAAAGATGGATGGCATGGAACCAGACTTTTTCATTCTGTTATGCGTAGGTTCCCTATGAGTCTCAACTGATTCTAACAATAATCCAATAATCCATCAATAAGTGCCATCGATTCAGTCCTGACTCATAGCAACTCTGTATATGTTTCTGAGGAGTGGCTGGTGGGTTTAAAATGCCTGCCTTGTGGTTAGTAGTCCAGTGCTGATCCTACCGTGCCACGCCAGGAATCAGAAAAGAAAATAGTGCCGTAGTATATACTACATCCTTTCATTATAGTTTTCTGTATATATTTTTTTTCTGTCCTGGGCCTTTCCCAGTCACGCTAAGAATCACCTTGCATATTGTTTGAAAATGCAGACCCCTGCCCTACTGTGGGATGGAGAACGATGGGTTAGGGTTGAGCCAGAGCCCACATTTTAAATAAAAAGTCCAAGTGATTTTGATGCATGTGACCCACAGTCCACTGGTGTATCTTCTTTATCGAGGCTTTATTAAACATTCTGATTTAATCCAGCATTCTTAAACTCTATTTTTCACTGTTTATGTTCTTTCTGACTTTGTACTTTAAAACATATCTAGATCTTGTTCATGGTAAGTCTAGAAATTGCCATTCACTTGTAAGTGGCCTTATGTTCATTATTCCGCCTTTACTTATTGGGATATGAAAGTGCAGTAGTAAGAGAACTGGTACATAGTTTTGACTCTAGGACCAGATTTATTTCCTGGGAATTTATATTCATATACTCATTCCTCTTGGTGGTGGTGGTGGTTATGTGCCATGGAGTCAGTTCCGACTCATAGTGACCTTGTATAGGGTTTCCGTGGCTGTAAATCTTTATGGGAGCAGAAAGCCTCATCTTTCTCCCATGGAACTGCTGGTAGTTTTGAACTTCTGGCCTTGAGGTTAGCAGCCCGACTTGTAACTACTACGCTACCAGAGTTCCTTCAATCCCCTTAAGTAACCCATTTTTAAAGACTTCAATTTTTTATTCAAAAGTTGAAAATTATGGTCACTAGGAATTAGGTTTAAGGACCAGTTTTGCTGCCATCTATTTGCATATGACTTCAGTTTCCCTGGGCTTAGGTTTCTTCATCTGAAGTGGCACTGTTCCAGAATCAACTTGCAATTGAATGGCGTTAAGGAGTTAATATCTATCCCTCACTGGAAAAAGCTGAGTTTTTCAGTGAGTTGTCTATGCAGATAGAACTAGATGGCATGGATTGGACTATCAGCCTAGCATTTTTTGTTTTGTTTTTTTCTACTTCATTAAATGCTCCTTTGGAGTGTTTCTTCATCTTCATTTTCTATTTCCCACCCTTTCCTATTCTGGCAAAAACAGTAAAAATCTTTAATACATGTCCAACACATACTTTTATGAGGAACATAGTATCCTATGCCATGTCACGCCACATTAATATTTTATAAAACTGAAATTTGTACAAATTTAAAAATATACAAATGTACTTACTATAAATTAGATTAGAAATAGCTGTTTAACTGGTCAGAATCATCCTGGGGAATATGAGTTATATTGCTCCTGGGGACAGTATAGATAATTTCTAAGAGCACTGTATGGGTCTTCTGGGCATCACTCCAAATCCTCCTGGCTTTTTTAGCCACTGCCATGGCAACCAGTTCAAAGCAGTATTAGGTCACATATTGTTCTGGCTCCACGGACTCTTACTCCCGTGACCAGGATGCTGACCAGCTGTAGGAACTTCTTGGTACGTGCAATCTGGAAGAAGTGGAGATCACCTCCTGTCCATCTAACGCTCACCCCCGACAATTCAGAAGCACATTTCATAAGACTCCTCAGATGGCATCCTAGACTGGTTTTCTTCTTTCCATATCACTGACACTGGGATCACTGTTCCTTGGGGCCGTTTCCTAAATATACTACCCATATGCAACCTTTACAGGAGCTCTGCTGGCCTAACTGCAAGACCAGCAGTTCGAATCCAGCAGCTGCCCTGTGGGACAAAGATGACTTTTTTTGCACCTGTAAACATGTATAGCCTTGGAAACCCTATACAGTCAGAACTGACTCCACGGCACCTAACAACATGCAAGCTTTTGTATCAGGTTCTGCTTTTAGGGAAAAGACTTAGAAAAGCAGGCAGAAAGATGGTTTCTAAAATAACCATATATTTTACTTCAGGAAAGCAAAGTCGGTTTTGACTCATAGTGACTGCACACGTTTCCAAGAAGCTGCTGGTGTGTTTGAGCTGTCAACTTGTGGTTAGCAGTCCAGTGCTTATCCTACAGTGTCACATCAGGAATGCCTACTCATCCAAACGTCAAGTCAATTCTGACTCATTATCACCCTATAGGACAGAGTAGAATTAGTCCCTAGTGTTTCTGAGGCTGTAAGTCTTTATGGGAACAGACTGCCTCATCTTTTTCCACAGAGCAACTGGTGGGCTAGAACGGTCAACCTTTCAGTTAGCAGCCTAATGCACTGCACCATGAGGGTTCTTTTAGAAATGCCTGAGGAAAAGACATTTTTTCTGCTCAAAATACTGCTGGTTAGAATAAAACAGACTAGCTCCATCAACTATAAAAAGACTGAAAATATTTTCAGAATTGAGTTCTTTAAAAAACAGTCAAAAGGTGGTTTTACAGCTTTAGTCTTTTATCCAGTGCTACAGCTATAACCTTAAAACATTCAGTCTTACTTGAAAAGTTAAACCACTTCTTTGAATAGGTCAGTGATATCTTCAGAAAAATCTTTTCTATTAACATTAGTTCAAAGTAAGGTTCTATCTTTCCACTCTGAATCTTAATGCACCAATTGTAAACTGTCACACTTTTTTTTCTCTTACCCTTTGCAAATCAGTTTTGTTACTTAAATCTATTTTTGTTTTTTGTCTTTGACAAGAGAACATGTTACTTCCCCCATGACAGGATGTTCTTTTGTGACTCACATACTTGTGAATTGTGCTGTATTCTTTGGTTGGTTTTGCTTTATACATTTATAGATGTCATTTTCATGTATGTTACTTTATGTAATACTATCCCTTTTAAATCTTCACTTAAGAGCCTACAGTTATAAATGAGTCTCAAATACCATATAATAGATATTAGAACTAAAAACAGAATTCTGGTCTTCTCATCATGAACCAACAGATCTGTGTTGGAAGAAGTGCAGCCAGGGTGCTCCTGGAAGGCTAGAATGGCCAAACTTCGTTTCTCATACTTCAGACATACTGTCAGGAGGAAACAGTCGCTGGAGAAGGATATCATGTTTGGTAGGGTGGAAGGTCAGAGAAAAAGAGGAAGACCCCCAGCGAGATGGATTGGCAAAGTGGCAGCATCCATGGGCTCAAACGTGGCAACGATTGTGAGGTTGGCCCAGGATCGGGCAGTGTTTCGTTCTGTTGTGCATAGGGTCACAATGAATTCGTACCGACTCGATGGCACCTACAACATCCTGAATCCTATATGCTATCTATAAAATGAATGATTATAGCCAGAAATTACTGGTATTTCCAGCAAGGGAATAATTTTTTTTATATTCAAATAAAGACTCAAGAAACAAATTATACACATACAAAAGAACATCATCAACTTATTTTAACAGAAAAGCAGCCCTTTTAACCTAGCCCATTTTAATATTTAAAAATATATACATAAGAGATTCTTTAAAAGACAAAAGTCCAATAAATACAACATGGTAAACTTTTCTCTACACAGTAGTAATAGGTTTTTCTTTTATGGACTTCTGTATTCTTTTGCTTTTATGAACTTCTATATGACTCTGCTTGTCAGCTTGTTAAACAGGAAAAACAGCTAATATCTGTTCTAATGAATAACGTAATTCAATTATATTTTTTCTCAGACACAAATTCCTTCTTTGGGAGGATGGCAGATCATAGAGCTGAAACAATCCTGCAAGTTATAGATAAACAACATTTAAAACAATGCTGAAATTCTTCTAGTTGTTTAACTCCAGCTGGCATAAAGAACTTTGAATCTTCAGTTAAATCGGGAGTCATTAGCCTTAAGATTTCCTGTTATATTCGCAATAAAGCATCTCAACAGATGGATTCCAGCATAGGTTACAGTACTGTGAAAAGAAAAATAAATCACTTTCCTCCTTATCTTAGAGGCAGTACTAGATCTTGATTAATACAAACTTTAAAAGTTCATGGAAAAATTCCATTATTTTAAAATGCCATTTCCCCCACAAATTTTATGAATGCCCCTCATATTTATACAGTTTTGCAAGTTCCATCTATGAATCCGAATATCCTTTAATTTATGTTTTCTTCTTTCTCTAGTTTTTGCTTCTATTATTCTAAAATCTGATGGTATGTCTCATCTGATGCATTTCCTTCATGATTCTAAACATTTCATTATAGCATTCTACTTTCATATTTGCATTCTACTTCTTAGAAGTCTTGATTTCTTTGTGACAAAGATTCAATCGCTTTAATAATTTAGATGCTTTTCAGTTTTTTAAGAAACACTATTACCTACCTTCCTATCCATCCTATTATATTGACCCATCATACTGCATGAAGATTAATGACGTGGTTTCTCAGGAATGGATGTACTATGGTTTTATATGCAGGTAAAGTATTCTGTATTGTGAATGCCCTTCTTGACTGTATAGAAGGCTAGACTTTTTCACCAAAACTGCCTTCTAGAGAATAGCCCATAAAGGTTCTTGGATTAAAACTGACGTTATACAAACTGAGGTTATACAAACTAAGGTTATATATATACAGTTTAAAGGAGAGATACAAACTGCATAGTCTGCCCATGAAATATGGCACTTGAACTCATATGCTACATTTCTGTTAACTCAGATAATTCCTTCAGTTCTAGAGTTAGTTCTTATCTGCATAGAAAACTATAGAAGCAATTATACCATGTCTTATATATTTATAAAAAGGCTACTTATACATTTTATGTATTATAAAAAATGTGACTCCCAGCATCAATCCATATAGGGCCTTTTATTCATTTATCCTGCTGCAGAAGAGTTAACACATGATAGTTAGCACTCACCCTTCATCTAAAGGCTTAAAGACATTATCTGCTTCCATCTTACCACCAACAGTTCACAGAAAGAGAGAGAAATAGCACTTGACCTTTATATTACCCAGTTTATGAAAAGCTCAGAGGGATGGACTGGGACGTGGCCATACTAAGAGGGTACATTCTGCCAACATCCAGCTGTATATGGTCACTGTTGAAGCTCCTGAAAGCTAGTGGGCTCCCCTTGTCTCAATTCCTAGATTTTGTGTGCCATGATTTTAAGTACAAGCCCGTGCTTTATCACTAAACCATATTATAATATCTCAGAAATTACTAACACAGGAAATGGCAACTCCTTTTGCTACCAATATTTTATATATAAAACATTTCTTCTTTATATCTGGTCCTTTAAAAGACAATTATCCACATACCATGGTTTTTATGAATTGAGAAAGAGATGGTAGTATCTTTGTTGTGGACACTGTTTAATTTTAAAAGGCAAAACGTTTTCACTTCTGCTGTGGTCTGGGCTGAAGTAAAAAGAACAAAGTGCAGGGGACATTCAGTAAGAACCAACAGTAAGGGAAAAAAAAGTTATTTAAAGTGCTATCAGAATGTACCGACCACTCATGGCTAAGTACATAGCCTTTGAAACACTTCTAACTTTAAAGACACCTTAATTTAATAAAGACTGATTTAATTCTAGATTGTTAGGGCAAAGGTATAATACAAACAGTAATAAAACTCTTACCTTACAGGAAACAATTGAGGAAAACATCCTTGAGTTTTAGTGTCCACGAACTTTTGGATTTCAAGCACTTGTTTTAAAAGATATCCTTTGGAAGACTTGTCAATTTTTGTTAATACCATCTATAAGAAAACATATTTTAAGAAATACAGTATTTCTTAGTTTTAAACATTTTAACAATTTTTGTTACAATTACATGAATTATGAAAGGTTCTTAATTTCTCTGTGTCTCTATTTCCTGATCTTAAATAAAAACAATACCTGCCTAAAGGAATTGCTATGAAGATTAATTGAGTTAATGTATGCTGTCCTGGTGTGTTGCTGTGGGTTAATGTGCTGGACTGCAAAGTCAGTTTGAACCACAAGGTTGGCGGTTCAAGCTCACTAACCACTCCTCAGAAACTGTATATAATAAGATTGCCATGGGTCGGAACCAACTTGATGGCACTTAACAACAACAATGTATGCAGAATTCACTATGTGTTTTCTATTTAACTACAGGTGACTCTTGAACAACTTGGGTTTGAACTGCATGGGTCTACTTATACATGATTTTTTTTTTTTTTCCCAATAAATACACAAGGTCGGTTTGAATTGCATGGTTGGCAGTTCAAACTCATCAGCCACTCTTTGGAAACCCTATACAGGGTAGCTATGAATTAGAACTGACTCAACAACTTGATCCTGGTGTGCCACTGGACTGCTAACCCTAGGTCGGCAGTTCAAACCCACCTGCTCCTCCTCAAAAGCCCTATACAGGGTCCCCATGAGTTGGAACTTACTTGCTGGCAATTAACAACAGCATGATACGGGCAAGGAGCCCTGGTGGCACTGCAGGAGAAACATTGAACTGCTAACCTCAAGGTTGGCAGCTCAAACCCACCAGCCACTGCATGTGAAAAAAATGAGGCTGTCTGCTCCCGTAAAGACATACAGTGTTAGGAACCCTGTCTAGGGCTGAAGTAAAAAGAGACTAAGGTGCAGGGAAAATTACTAGGGCTCAGAACTGACTTGATGGTAATAGGTGTTATGATATGGGTACTGAAACTATAGCAAATGATGGAATTGAATAGAAATATTTTCAGAGAAATGAAAAAGCAAAAAGTCAAGGAGAAATTTCTATTTATTTCTGTAGAGTTACACCAAGTATGCCTGTCTATGGTGCCTCATATTCCATCTTTTCTACCTCTGCCACCCCTGATACAGCAAGAAGAATCCCTTCTTTCCCTGCTGCTTCTCAGCCTACTCAATGTGAAACTATTCATCTTGTAATTGGAGAATGTAAACTAACAAAACAGATACAGTTCAGAACTATAAATGCACCTTTTTTTCCTTGTGATTTTCCTCATAACGTTTTTTTACTTTATGCTACAAAGGCAACACATAATACATATAGCACCCAAAAATACGTATAAATTGACTGTTTATGTTTTTGGTAAAGTTTCCAGACAACAGTAGGTTATTGGGAGTTAAGTTTTGGGGGAGTCAAAAGTTATTTGCAGATTTCTGACTGCGAGGGGGATCAGTGCCCATAAACCCTGCATTGTTGGTGGGTCAAAACTGTGTACACACACAAGGCCATATTTTGGATTCCAGGCCAGGTGAAAAGGAGTCAAGAGCCCTATCTGCAACCACCACAAGCCAACTGTTTGATATGATCATTACATATACCCCTGTAGTCTTAAGATACGTAAATACCTTAAATATTTAAGTATTACTTAAAAAAGTTAGTATTATTAGTTTGAACCATATAAAAATTGCCAACTTGTCATCATTTTTGACCTACAAAAATGGATACATAATGACTTAATGGAAAAATGCTGTCATAAGGAAACAGTCCCTGAAGAAGGACATCACACTTAAAAAAATGGAGGGTCATTGAATTTAGGAAGACGCCTCACATCCCCACCGCGGGCACAAAGCAGTAACAATGGCCTCAAACCTAACAATTTAGGAAGACGCCTCCCACCCCCACCGAGGGCACAAAGCAGTAACAATGGCCTCAAACTTAACAATTTAGGAAGACGCCTCCCACCCCCACCGCGGGCACAAAGCAGTAACAATGGGCTCAAACCCAACAATTTAGGAAGACGCCTCCCACCCCCACTGCGGGCACAAAGCAGTAACAATGGACTCAAACCGAACAATTTAGGAAGACGCCTCCCACCCCCACCGCGGGTACAAAGCAGTAACAATGGGCTCAAACCTAACAACTGTGAGGATGGTGCAAGACTGGACAGTGTTTTGCTCCGTTGTACATAGGGTCGCTGTCAGAACCGACTCGATGTCAGAATCGACTCGACAGCACCTAACTAACCACAAATGAAAACATCATGGAGCAGATTATTTATAAACTATATTCATTATAATTATAGTCCAAGGAAACCTAAAATTTTACTTGTCCAAAGACACCTATATACTGGAGGAGGATCAAGGGAGTAGATGACAATAAAACCGATTAAGAAGTAAAACCTAGATCCATCAGGTTTTTCTAAGAAATAAGTTAATTTTATAAAATCAATTTCCTAACTAATCACTTATGTTTTTCAGTCATAAAAAAATATTAATGTCAGAGGAGTGAGAATGGTCAGAAACTAGGTCTTTCCTAATAAAAGCCAATATTGTTGGTTGTTGTTGCTGTTAAGCGACTCTGTATAGGTTTCTGAGGAGTGGCTGGTGAGCTTGAAGGGCTGACCATGTGATTCAAACTGACCTGGTAGTCCAGTGCATGATCCCACAGCACCACACCAGGACTCCAAACGCAAATATACTGATA